ACTGCCTCAATTCGGCGTGGCATGGAGGTGATCAGTTTGTGGCACTGCTGAGGTGGTATGGAAGCCCAGGTTTCTTTGACACTTCATTTCCAGCGATATCGTTGACTTGATTGTAAATGATTGCAAAGATACTATTTAAACTGAACTTAGCTGGATGATGACATCACTGAATTCAATGATGAACTGTCTTTAACTGAAAAATTAGTGTTTACTATTGTCATTTTGCATTATTGACACACTATTTTCCTAATTAATGCTGTTCAGTTGCTTTGACACAATCTGTATTGTTAAAAGCGCTATATAAATAAAGGTGACTTGACTTGACTTGACTTGACAATTACTCTCCAAACTCAGCACAATTTTTTTTCTTTCGTTTTGTTAATCTGTTAATGATTTAAGTGAAATATATTTTGTGTATAGGCCTTTATATTCCTTTTTATGTAGCCTATATAGTTTTATTCTGTTTTCTCCGTTCACAGAAACGCTGCAGGTGCGTGATGTGACCTTGTGTGAATCTGTGTTCTACACTGGTTTAAAACAAAAAGCTGCATATTACCAAAGTCCCTTTAAGACAAGTCATGTCAATCAGCAGCAATCTTTGAAATGCCTCTCGGGCATGCAAGTGCAACTACTATCTCTTCGAATGAGGAAACATCAAGTTCTCCAAAACTGTTGACTAAGCTTTCATATTTGAAATCACCAAAGAAATCTGACAACAACTGTGTCATAAATGTTGTTTCTTTTCCACAAATATCGTTATAAAAAGCTTATTTTTCAGGCTAAGATCAGCCAGTGTGCAGTCCTAAGCGCACGTCTCAAAACGTTGACTGTTTCTATAGCAACCGGGACTTCTAACGGCAGCTGCAGTGATGCGCTGACTTTACCAATTAGCGATTGGCTCTTTCATTCAGAAGGCTGGGCTTCCTGCATTTGAGCGGCCATATTGAGCGTTGTATTTTTCCCCATTCAAAACTATGCGAGTAACATGTCTTGGGTATTCTATAGTCTTTGATATTACCTGCCATTCATTCTCACTTAAATGTAGACCTAATGCTTGGCGGTTCGTGACATATCCTCAGATAAACTCTAATGCCGGTGCATTGCCATTGCGACTTACCTATGATGAATTTACAGCTGAGAGCGGGCATTTCACTCGTTGGATGCGTCAGCGTCACGTTTGCATATGGCCGTACTATGCCGTCTGACAAACTATATTTTGTACAGATTTTATTTTGTTTTGGCAAGTATTTAATTATTTTGCCCAGAGAAAAACGTTGGATTATGCAACATGCAACTCGTTGTCTCCATGCAGTTAATTAATAAACCATCGGTATCGGCCATTTTCATGCTATTTCCGATATGCCGATGGCTTTAAAATAATCAAAAATCGGCCGATAAATATCGGCGGCCGATTCATCGGTGCATCCCTACTGTCACACTTAAAATATTAATTTCTTTTTTATATATATATAATTTTAAAATCTATATATATATTTATATAAATATAAAATGTATATATTTCTTATATCTTACCCCAAACTTTTGAATGGTAGTTAATCACAGTTTACACAAAAATGTTAAACAGCACAACTGTTTTTAACATTGATAATAATATAATAATAATATTATACATTACATATATATACATATATACATATACATATATATACACACACACACACATAAAAACCAAAAAAGACAAGTTATTCATGCAGAGGCACACTTGATGTACTCACCGAGGCGACTCCCATGATGAGAGGGAATGTTACAGAGGAGCAGGCATCTGGGGTTTGGCCAAAGATTGTGTAAGGAGTCTGGAACCAAGCCTTCTCATTGGCCCAGATGACATCGCACAGGGGCAAGATAGACGCTCCAAGCCCAATAGCAGGTCCATTCACAGCAGCAATGATGGGCTTCTTGAACTGAATAAATGTGTTGACGAAAGTTCTGAAGACAACAGAAAACACATTGGTTTATATATAGCTACTATTACAAAACAGTTCCCTGAAATATGGTGGTAAAATAGCTGTCATAATATTTATATTCTCATCATTTTGTACCTGATTGTCTCCGCCATTTTGATACTTTCTTTTTTCCTATCATCCGTGAGCCGCCTAATAAAATAGATGAAGTCGAGGCCAAAGCAGAAGATGTTTCCCACGGCGCTCAGTAGAACAAGTTTACTGTCATCAGCTGCAGCTGTGGCCATGGCACTCTGAACCTCTTTCATTACCTGGAAACCATTTGAGTGATGTTATATCACTTCAGAGTGGGGTGGGGGGAATGACCAATATCACAGTACGAGTAATATCATATATAATAGAAACCTAGTTACACTGTGTCTATGTCAGAATGTGACAAGACGTGTCAAAACAAAATGGCTTCCATTACATGCGCCTTTCTGTGACACAGTCTGGAAAGATTTGAGTTGAATTACTGAAATAAATGAACTTTTCCACGACATTCTAATTTATTGAGATGCACCTGTACATGTACTGCATGGCATCAGATTTTTTTTTTGTACTGTCATACCATCCAGCATGAATTCAGAGATTGAGATTTTTTTTTTTTAAACTATAAAAACCAATGAGTGAAATGTCAAGATACTTAAAAAATAGTCCAAACTCTTTTTGTGCATTTTAAATCGAAAGTCAAATCAACATTTCTAACATGAAATATATTTGTACTCACATCAGGATTCAGTGAGTTGTTCTCAGAGGTCTTTGTAGAAAACAGAATGTGTGTAAAGCCATCTTGTTTCTTAACTACAATATCCCTGTAGCGGTAAGCACTCTCAGTTTGACGAACACTAAAGCGCAGACGCTTGTCGAAAGATGCACGGTCCTCAAAACGCCTTTTGCCTGTCAGCCCTGAGCTGCTCATCACTCCTGCCCCAGCACTCTGAGTAATGGCAGTTCCATTTGCAGACGAGGCCTCCATGAGGGTAGTCGCGCCTATAAAACAACATCAAAAGCAAAAGTGAATGAATAAAATATGATATAAATAAAATATAGCAAAACTGTAGTAATAATCATATTATATATATATATATGATAAAAACACTATTTTATTATTTTGTAAATATTAATAAATATATAATTTTTTTTTAAAAATACTTAAAAAAATTAAGCTGTTTTCAACATTAATAAGAACTATTTCTTGAACACTAAATTGGCATATTCAAATGATTTCTGAAGGATCATGTGACACTGATGATTGGAGGAATGACGCTGAAAAAAACACTTTGCCATCAGGAATAAATTACATTTTAAAATATATTCAAATAAAAAAAAAACTGATTTTAAATTGTAATAATATTTCAAAATACTACTGTTTTTAATGTATTTCTGATCAAATAAATGCAGTCTTGGTGAGCATAAGAGACTTCATTCATAAACCCTGAAAAATCTTACTGAACTGAACATTTGAAGGGTTGTGTATATTTATGGATGCAACATCATGGCCTGAAATTAATTAATTTTAGTGAAAGTCATCTGCATATGCAAGTATAAACAAATGATTACAAATTACAAGACTTATTACATTTTAAAATTATTTCCTTCTGTTATACAAATCAAGACCATTGTAGCAATGTGAATTTTGATGGAAAACTAGCATCGTCATATTCAGGATAACATACGCCTTCTGAATCAACTCCAGGAGGTACCCTCAAAAATCACTTGATGTTCTGCAGCAACACATTTGCTTTCATTCATCAAGTGCTTGTTTATTAGATTTATTGTGTTGTTCCATGACTAGAAACACACAATCCATTAAATTATACGAGTAGGGCTGAAACAAACATATTTAGTGGTGTTTCCAGGCCTGGAACTAAAACCCGCTCTACTAAACCTCAAAAGAATGTAGTGTAATGTTCTCAGTGTAAGTCGAGAGAACTCTACCTTTCCCGTTTAACGTGCGGACGGCAGCGGGGGTAATGGGAATCTGCGGTGGCAGAAGGGCTGTTTGCGTTCTGGGCCTCGTGCCCATACGAGCCCGTTCCTCTCCTTGTACACGCACAGCTCTGGCGGGTTTCTCCAGCAAGGCCACTTCAGGGGGCACAGCATCTGGCTCTTGGCCTCCCTGCTCCAGACTGTGCGCTGCCTCACTGGGAGACTCCTCTGTGTCAGTGCGGCTGTTCATTGGGCTCTTCGGCACTAGGATTTTGATGCCAGATTTAGCCAGGTCCATACTACGCCGCAGCGCACTCACAGTGGGAGCAGCTGTCGGTGCTGCCGTCGGAGCCGTGTCAGTGACTGTGCTCGTAACGGCAGTGCCACTGCTACTCACGCCAGCCGATCGCTTACTCTTCTGCTGCTGCGCATCACTGTTGTGCGGTGAATGCTGTGCTGGCTGAAGCCGTTTTGTGGAGGGTGTGTTTGGGGTGGGGGGAGAGGTCTTCGCTGTGTTAGGACTCACTGAGGACTGCTGAGGCCTGCTGATTTGTTTGCGGGCGTTGCCTCCGGCTGTGCTGGGAGAGCTGCGTGTGGAACGGAGTAAAGCTACATCTTTCTGCTTCTCGCTGTGTTGCCGGTTAAATTCATGGATGAACTCAACGCAGCTGGACAGGTGATTCTCCGGCTCCCAGCTGTCTCCCTCAAAGCCGTAGCCTCTCCAGCGGACCAGGTACTCAGTCTTGCCCTTTTTGTTCTTACGTTTGCCTACTATTCTCTCCACCTAAAGAGGGGCATGCAGATAAAGTAAATGGCTTAGTGCAATTTATGTAAAATAATAACATGCTGGAGATTAAAGAACAGCATTTACTCAAAAGTTATGAAGGAAATGGCAATTTATATCAATACACTTTTACTTTTATTTTTTTAAAGCATATGTAATATATTACATATATATTACATATTTATAGCAATTATTACATATGCTAGATAAATGAAAAGCAGGTAGTTGTAAAAACATCAAATGTGACCCTGGACCACCAAACCAGTCATAAGGGTCAATTTTTTAAAATTGAGATTTAGGCTATACATCTGAAGCTGAATAAATACGCTTCCCATTGATGATGAGAGTGCAAAAAATGTTCTTAGCAATGCATATTACTAATCAAAAATTAAGTTTTGATATATTTACAGTAGGAAATTTACAAAATATCTTCGTGGAACATGATTTTTACTTAATATCCTAATGATTTTTGGCATAAAAGAACAATATAATAATATAATATAATCAATAATTTTGACCCATACAATGTATTGTTGGCTATTGCTACAAATATACCCGTGCAACTTAAGACTCGTTTTGTGTTCCAGGGTCACAAATGTTTGTATCGCCCCTTTAAATGATGATTTTAGATGAATAAATGAATGAACACTACCATTCTTAACTGCACTCAATTGGACTGAACAAAGGACTGAATAGGTAATATGGCCAGCAAGGAGGTGGTGTAGTTTCATGATTATTAAATGTTGGCGCAGAGATATGGAGGATGGTCATATAATTTGCAATTAATATTAAACAGCACCCTTTCTATACATGGTTTATTGGCTGCGTATAACCCTCATGTTTTGTGACGGTCCATGTGTTCAAGATTTTCTTTTTCCCGAAAATGCCAGTTAATTTTATTGCATTAATTAACTAATACTGACAAAATGTACTAACTTAGTTCACACAGGGTTTAACAACAACCAAAAATTGCCTGTACTAATTGAAAGAAAACAAGTTGACAAAAAGACTGAATCCAAGATTTGGTGATCAAGCATAAATAAAACAGATTTAAAAGCAATATTTAAAAGGCTAGTGTATTATTATTATTTATTTATTTTTGAATGGGAACACAAAAGGATTTATCATCACAGAACAAAGGTTAAAGAAATAGCGCACCCAAAAACAAAAATTCTGTTATCAAATTACCCTCATGTCGTTCCAATCCCAGGGCTCGAAATTGCGACCATTTTGGTCGCATATGCTCCCGGAATTTAATCTGCGCGACCTCAAAATATATTTGGGCGCATTTGAGTGCAAATAATTTGCATTGAGTGCTAATAATTGTTGTGGTGCGACCCGTTTTCATTTCTTTGCAAAACTTTCGCTAATTACTGCACAGTATGTGCCTGCTGTGAGCTGATGCAGTGATGACAGTGATGGCTCCGCCATTCTAATCAACATACATAACCAATTAAACTTCACCTTTACATTCTTGACTTTAATGCAGATTTTAGATTCATTACATTAGCCATCAATCACTCAATGTCACTGACCCTGTGCTCTGTTGGAACTCGGAGCTGACCGGTTTTTGCTTCAAAATTAATTTTTATTTTTTTTCCAATTAATTTTTTTCAACCAATCTCCGTTCCGGATTTGCACAACCTGCATTGCAGTAATTTTCCAAAATGTCATTTGTGTGGAGATATTACATTGTAATTATATTAAGTCTGCAAACAGCCGGTAATATAGGCCAGAGATGCTGAAGACGAACGCAAAGAGAAAAATACTGAACCAGGCAGAACAAGATCACTGTTCACGATGCGCGAGATATTAGAAGAAAATCCTAAGTATTGCATTGGTGGTGGGGTTTATATTAATGTAGGCCTGGGCGATAAAACGGTATCGATATTTATCGACGGTACACCTTCGATATCGATAGAAAAAATGTTCGATATAGCGCACGATATAGGCACGTGCTATGAGTGACGCAGACAGCACACACAAACACGAACACATGCTGAATGATGATGTAAGTGATGTTGTTGCATTTTAATGTTTTTGTTAGTCTAGCCCAAGAGATGCGCCGCTGCTGTGTTATGCATTCAAAATATTAGAGAAATATAGAAGCTCAATGCGGAGAAGATGGGTTAAAACCGAAACCAAGCCATTCACACGGAACGCATATTTAGCGCATTTTTAGACGGACAAATATGACTGCTGCACTCACGTCTCTCACAAGAGATGTATCGATATGAAACATTATATCGTTGATACATTTTTTAGCTATATCGCCCAGCCCTATATTAATGTATCACTGAAGGGAACCGACTGTTTTGCGATGGTATTTTCTTTTCATCTTTCATCTTGTACCCTCGTTTCGCTTCGACGGCTTTCAGCCTCACCCTGCTTCATACTAGGACGTTAATAAATCTTTAATACATTAGCTCATCCATGAACATGATTTCTGCCCGAGTCCCGTCAGATTGCATCGGCTGTGTGGATGAAGACGACAACTCCCATGATTCCACACTCAGTCACAGCTTCATCAAACTACGCCTTTGTTTCTTTGTTTGTTTTGAATACGCGCCCTCTAGCGGTGAAAACTTACATATTGTGCCTTTAAAGAAGGTTTATGGCCCTGTCCCAAATGGCACCCTAAACCCTCACGGTCTTCCTCTGAGTTCTCATTTTCATGACGTAATGCTGCTTTGACTGCCGGGTAGAAGTCGGCTGCGTAGCTCGCAGGCTTGTGGGCTCAGCAGAAGTGGGGTCGAGGGCGCAAAGGACCGCACCTTCACGAGCACCCTTCTGAAGGCTAAAATGACAAATGGGACACCCTACGGTCTCGTGGACTTAATGGACACGCGCACGTAGCGGCCATTGTAAGTCCTCAAGACCGAAAGTGCACATGAAGTGTGCCATTTGGGACAGGGCCTATAAGTGCAGCCCTGCTTTGTTTACAGCAGTAACCAAGAAAAGACTATTTCGCTGATGTTCCATAAGCACCACCTGCTGTCAGAGAGTGAATTTGCATCTCAGGCAGGTAGACTTATGGAAGAATATTCCGGACTTTTTTCAAAAGGAATTGCAAATTGTATTTTCAATTGTGTTTTCCACATGTGGGCGCATAAATTGTGACAATCCAAATGCAACTGCAAATTTTGCATTACCATTTGCATTTGCGCTTTCGCGAACGCACAGTGACTGCCACATTCCAAATGAAAAAGCAAAGTCCATTTGCAACTGTATTTCCCATGTCTTACAAGTTATGAGCCTGTCATATTTAAATAGCAATATTAATTACCACATTTGCTTATTCACTCTCTCTGCGTCGTGCATGTAACCTACCAAAACTCAAATGGAATCGCAATTCCTTTTGCATTTGAATTTCCGATGTCTACACGGAAATCTGTCAATCAATGTGAGGGGCGGGACTATATTATGGGGCGTGTTTGTATCGGGAGGTGACATCACTCACAGATGACAGTGCCGAATGCTTTGATCAATGGAGATAATCGGTAAAGGCTCTGCTAAAGGCAGCTGCCAATCAGTTCATGACTCTGTGAACGAACAGACAACCTTCTTAGCACAATACATAATTCTGTCTTTTTTACCCCAAATGCAGTGATTATCCCCTGCTAACAGCGGAAGCAATAACGGTACGCACAATAGGTCAATATTCACTATTACCCAAACGCTTTTTACCCATCTCAACATCTCTCACTGTTTCTCTCACTCCAATTGATGCAAGTGAGTAAACAGACAAGGCAATTCTACACTTATTACAGTAGGCCTACATTTTATTCCTTTCTTTTAATCTGTAATTGTACGGAAGTTCTAAGTGGCCATGCATTATTATTATTTTTTTCACTTTTTTTCTCGTGATCACGACTTAATTTAGTCTACTGTTGCTATAAGTAACAAATGCAACCTTGACGGGGACATTCTAAAATGCTTAACCTGGCTTAATGCATTAATTGAGAGTGTTTTTAAAAGACCAAACTCAGGGCAAATGATCGACAGATGACTGTGCGCTCTTCTTGTGGATATTTCAGCAAATGCTGCTTCACTTAGAAATAACGTCTACAATAAATAAATTAAATATAGGTTGATCAAACACTGCTGATTTTGTCCAGAGTTAGGCTACGCTAAACATTTTATTTGTGTAATTAACATGTTTAAATTATCTAAAAACAACGCATTCAACACCGCAAGCGGAGCACCTTCAGAAGACTGCAAAGAAGAGCCTGTTCTAAAAAATCTTAAACTGCTTGGATTGAATTTACTTTAATTCAATTTACTCACTTCGTTTGATATCAAATAGTAGGCCTATATAATAATATATTATAATAATTTTTTTGTGATTTTTATTAGTCTTGTACGATAGGCTGTGATATCATGTGCTTTACAAGCTCGGGATGTTATGTGTGAGTGTGTGTGTGGTTTCCTACAAAGAAATGTAGAAAATACAAAAGATTAGGCTACAACACTGTATAACATCACTGAACTAAATTATACACATATGCAAATCACATTTCTTATTAATATACATGTATTAACAATAAAGATTAAAAATAAGAAAGATGCACATTACAAATACATCGTTGTAAATACGAAACTGATGAGTCGTGCAGCAGTAATAATGTAACATAACAGATACAATTTCAAGCAAAATGATCATATATATTCAACATAACATTTCTAAGTTTAATTAAATGTCAGTAATGAACTGCATAAATTATAGTGATCACAAAGAAGGTCCTCTGTCCCAAACGCATACAGTAGCCTATAGTTGATACAGTATACACAGGGGTGCACATAAGTGGTCCGCAGTTCCGCATGCGCGACCAAAATAAAAAAATGCACTGTATAAATAAGTTCTGACAGCGCATTTGCGTACCAACATGGATGACAGCGGTTAATGCACAATTACCATTTTAGATCGACAAACTGTTCTGTATAAGATTTCTATTCAAATTGAAAGCATAAATCTAGGCTACCCGTCGGGTATAGAGCAG